TTGTGTAGCAATTTATACTTACTTTATGTGAAGACGAATCACCATCAGCTCATCTCCGGGAACAAGTGATTGCAGACTCAGACTCTCCATACTTACTTTATGTGAAGACTAATTAAACATGCGAGGTGGCGGAGAGCCTGCTGCCTTGTGTGGGAATTTATGAGGACATAAAATCTTCGTCTGTCGAGGAGGAAGACAAATATGAGCCACGACTCTCATCTACTTTGTGGAGATTACCTACTAAACCAAATTTTACACGACGCGAAAGAGAAAAGATATTATCATCATATATCTCTACTCACAGTTCATACTATCAAAATTGAAGTCGGCTGTATCTGTTCTAACTAAAATAAATAGCAACTTCGTGGTGATAGGGAAGCGACGCAAGGATTACAAATGTGTCAATTTGGCCACCGACAAAAGATATGAAGAGACGTAACCATTACAAATGCCAATTGGTTTCCATGCATGGGCGCCATCGACATAAGATATGAAGAGACGTAAGGATTCAGGTCTTTTTGTGTTTGATTGCCTCTTCTGTCGCTCTCCGTTATTCATGTTTCTTATCTGCCACATCAATTGTTCCATATTTGGTTTGAGTGACTCATTGGCAACAAATCCGAATTGTGATGCCATGGTCGCCTGTGTCAGTAACTGTGGGCACATCAAAGGTCTAAGTTGGTTGACGAAGAGACTTGGACGCTCCTCAAGTCCTAATGTGGACTCAGATGCATGCTCCGTAATCAATCTGTACAAAGGTTGAGGTTGGATGGATTTCACGACCTGATCCCGACATTCAAGTCATTTACCTAAAGTATGGAGCAATCTTAATGAATAGTCATTGACTTCGATTTGATATGAAGAGCTTTTTATAATGGGTTTAACCTGGGCTGGGCTGTCACATGTCTGCGGATGTATTGGAACAAATATTACCCCTATCACATAGTATGACCACAAGATGAGTGATTTGGAGCACAAGATGCAGCTTAAGCGACTCTTGGATGGATAACTATATTTGGAACAACATTATTAGCAATCCTAGATACTTTCTGGGTCGATTGTGGTGTTCCAAGGGTATGCACATTCTATCATGGGATTGGGATAGTGATATTTTTTCTAGATATGCTAGAAGTTGGGACTGATAACCTTTCTTATGAAATATATACACTTCAAGCTCAATAGAGGCCAATATCTTTCCAACATTGATAATATATGAGATAAAATGGTTAGACCTAAATATGCTGTGATTTATCCTTGGAATATTCAAAATTATTAAGGCAAAGCTGGAATCAGGTTTGTTTCTTCTCGCTCTTGAACGTTTAAGAGGAGAGTTCACTAAATTTTTTGGTGATATTTCTATTATTGATGTTTTCAAAGTTAACTATATTTTAGATTCTCCTAGTCCATTCAAGCATGCTTTCATCAACATACATGCTAGTGATCGATCTTTGGTGGTTCTAATCTCATTGTTAATCTATATATCACATGATAATTTTTAGTATTAGAATCTGGATAATAAGAGGGTCTGTTCTGCTAAGTCTGTTGGGCTGGAAGCCCACAAATTCAGCCCACAACCCATACCCCTCTTAATCTAACCCTAATTAACATTAGGGGGGTGTAGTGGCTGCGTTTTAGGCAGAAAAAAAAAGCATAAATAGGGCAGCAACGTGAGAGAAGGCACAGCCACGGGATTCCAAAGAAAAGAAGGAGAACAAGGGAAGAAGACAAGTACAACGCAGAGAGACTGTTCTCAATCATCTAGCAGCGTTCTCATCTCAGGTTAGATCAAATCTACTGTGATTACTTGGGGAGGTTTTAGATATTGTGAACAGTGACGTGATTCTTGTATCTCAGTTATTCTTCTGTGGTTGTTGTTAGGGTTTGGGGCAAGAGATTGAGATTTGTATATTCATTATTCTCATAGTGGATTATCTCTAGTTTGCCTCGTGGTTTTTACTCTTCACATTGAAGGGGTTTTCCATGTATATCTTGGTGTTCTGTTTGATTGTGCTTCTATTTAATTCCGCTGCGTATTATGGTCTTCTAGTATTTGTTCATATACAAATGTTATTCCTCTTTATATCCAATCAAAGTCAAAGTCTGCCTATCATTTTCTTGCTTCTCAGATGGGATGGTTGATCCTAACGTGGACTAGTTGTAGTGTTTGTGGAAGCTTCCCGTGTTGCCTCAGGTTAAATTTTTTTGTTGGAAACTTTTGCACCGCCACCTCTCATTGTTGGATTGATCGTCTCAACTAAGAGTCTGCAGTAATGCTACTACTTGTCCCTTTTGTCAATCTAAAGCAAAACCATTAACCCCTTCTTTCTGTGCGTCTTTCCTATTAAATTATGGCAACTCTTTAAATCTTAACTAGATATTCAATTTTTAATGAGGGGGTGCAGTGTCCCAATTCTGATGGCCAACCCTTGTGGGTTATAAATGATATTGGTCTTTGGTGAATATGGAGGGCTACGAATGATCTTGTTTTCAACCCCATTGCTTGTTCTGTCTACAAGATTTTTCATAAGATAGTAGAATTTGTTCTCTCTAATGACAAGGCCAAATCTTCTGATAGCATGGTGCGTGAAATATGTCCATATCCTATTTGTTGGGTTAAATCTTTTGAAGGATGAGTGAAGATGAATCGTGATAGCTTTTCCAACAAGCTACATTGAGGGGATTAGAGTGATACTCGTGACCCATATTAGAAGTGATACTCAAGACCCAATTTTGGTTGGATGTAGATACCTTGCGGATCGTGATATCATATGTTGTGAAGCTGAGGCAATTCGGGAGGTTTTGATGGCTGCATCAGTGGATGTTCAAAAGATTTATAGTTAATTTGATTATATGTGTATTGTTTCTATGATACACTACAAACATAATATTTTCTGGATGAGGACTCTTGTGAATTGCATCATCAAAAGGGATGTGGATTTATGTAAATCTAATAGTGTGGACTCACACCCATGTATAAAGAATATCCTAATGAGCCACAAAAAAGCAATTAAAAAAATTCTAGTACCCTTAATTTCATCTTATTCATTTTTGAACTTAACTAACAAATCGATCATCCCTCTTTGGGAGTATTCTATCTAAAGTTGTTTTGGCTTTGGAAGCTTGATGATTAAGGTTTCATTTTGTGTAGTTCTGCTTAATAATATTTGTATTGTCAGAAGGTTGATTCTATGATGAATGGGGACAGTTGGCATAGGTTGTGAAAGTTGTCAGTTTTACTGAGGGTTAGTTGTCAATTTTTTGTGCTCTGATATGCACAACTCCTTTTGTAATTTTATGGTTTGGCTAATATAATTTTTCTTCTTGAAGAAAAAAAAATCAATCATCCTAACTTATCCAAAATGTAGCTTGAATATATATGTTTCTGAATTGTAATCATCCCAAACTTAACTAAGAAGTATCTTGATATCTGATGTAGGCATCTACAAAACCCAACCTCACCATCCCTACACTCTATTTAGCATAGCAGCTTCAAGAGCCTTTCTCAAGTTGGCAAGACTGAAAAGAGTGAAAATTGCAAATAGCTAATATTGTTTTGTAACACATACCAGCAACTTGCAAATTGCATTGAACTACTGTTAAGCAAGAATTTCTGTTTTCCATAGATAATACTGGCTTGAGCTTCCCAGGGCTAGTACGGTACACATTCATTTACAAAAGCTTACATATTTCAGAATAAAGGATTCATAGAAGAAGCAAGCATAGTACAATACACTTTCATTTACAAAGGCTTACATATATTTCAAAATAAAGTATTCATAGAAGAAGCAAGCATCGTCATACAATCAAAGTGGAACAGGATGTACAAGTAACAAAGAGATATATTCCTTTGTCTTCGTAGAGGAGTTGGTGTATCCATCGATGTACTTATATATATTTTCAATCATTCGTGAAAAATTAACAATCTTTTGAAGTAAAGCAACGGGGAATGTAGTTTGATTGAGGCACTCTTCGTTTATATCCTTCCATGCATCATCAACTAGAACTTGGAGCTTCTTACATGCCACATGCACATTTGTTCTGTATTCTTTCATGTAGCATTGGATTGTGGAGGCAACATGTTCCCTAGTTTGTTCCAACTGTAAATTTCATGAAAAAAGAGGATTAATGATCTACAAACTAAATTCTAACGGATCCTTTCAGGATTTACATGTTCATTATATTAAAACAAATTGATAGACTATTATCATTAATAAGGTGTAGATGAAAGGAATTTGGGAATCTACAGATGTGGAAGCTTACGAACAGGATTTTTTTTGTTTGTACTAGATTTCTTAATATAAAATCATTTAAGGAGTTCAGCAAAACTTTGATAATGCAATTGAGTGACACAAGAAATGCTTTTGAGGAGATAAATGTACGTTATTTTCTTTTTCTTTTTCTTTTTTTTGTGTTATCATATTTCTACTACGACAGAAATCAGTGCAAAATTTACTATGAAAAATGTTTATATGATATAAAACACAGGAGATTATATTATGACCATACCTCATGTGAAGTAATGTCATTCATGATACGACCAATTATTGCAGAAGCTTGGACGATCTTTGGGAAACTAGCAATCCACTCAAATGCCTCCTTAGTTGCTATTTCTCCCATTCCAACGAAAGAAGCACATTGGAGCATAGGATATCCTGAACTGATGAGGGAAACATGTAGATGTTCTTCCAAAGTTGGTACGTAATGTTGATCTCTCCATATGGATTCCTCAAAATAAGCTTCAGATAAATCTTTCATCTGTACCCAAAGAAAACAAAACCATTCCTTAATGTTTGTAATGCATGAGTAACGTCTATAAGTGGGACAATCTAAGTTCAATACTGTCTCATCTCAAATGCTTATTCTTTACATTGGCCATTAGTGGATTCGTTTATTACTTATGTAATGCTAATTAATAAAAGTGAAAATAAGAGGAACCTTATAATCTCATCACTCACCGCTTCCTTTAGATAGGTTATCCGATATTTCTCACTGGAAGCCAATAAATCTTCAAACTCTTCAAAGGTGTGCATTAGCTTTAGATAATAATCTTTCATGTACTCTGGTAATTGATGAATAATCTTCACGTCCCACCTGCATATGTATTAGTTTCACCAACTTTAGAAAAATAGAACATAAACATACATGTTGTTATTTTGCTATACACAATGACTAAAACTATTATGCGATATTTTATTTTCTTATGTGATATTATCAGTGGCACCTTTTGTTATCATCTATTGAGCCATGATAGTAAAAGGTAATCTGTCCATCGATATAAGATTTACGAACCTTTGAATTGCCTTAGTTAGTCGGTGACTCTCCTCCAATGTGCTATAGACATCATATATGTCGTCCAGAATTGAAATAAGGGCAATCACCTTGGTCGTTATCACTCGGGCACGAGAATAATAGGGTTCAAAGTATACTCCCAAGATCCAGAAATAGCATTCCACCAATCTATCTCGAGCAAAACTGAGATTTTTTTAGGAGACTAAATCATTCCACCACCTTCAAGTCGTTCACAAATCAAAATGGCATTATTACATATCAATTAAAATTTTGATGGGAGGAGGAACCAAGCTCAGCAATTAGCCTTCACTTTACATTTGCAACATGATTGTATCTTTCTTTCTTTATAAAAATCCAGAAGAAATATAGCTCCAAGGAATTCAGAAGTGAGGAGGAGCTTACTTGGTGATGTTCTCAAGCTCCTCGCGATGAAGAGATTGCAACAAATTGAAGTCCAACTTTGCAAGCTCCAGAATGGCATCATCTCGTGTGGCATCCTCTTGGTATATAGATATGTAATCTCTTGCCAAGAGCCTTCTAATTCTCCTACAGAGAGGTGTCTCGAGGTCAAGAGACACTTGCGTTGTTAATGGTGGTTTAAGATCAGCTAATGCAGACACTAGGCTATTCCTCGTAAAAGAGATGGCTTCATCAAGAATGATCTCCCCATGAGTCCCAAGATAGGATGCGTTGTACAAGCTTAACAGTCCTTTCACATCACTCCCCAAGGTAGACATGAAACTCCCTCCCTCATCTTTGAACTTGTTAAAGACAACTACAGAAATACATAAGATTTTCTGTTTTGAGAAAGAAACAAACAGTCATATTATCAAAATTAATTTACCGTTTTAAGTGATTACGTGATAATCAATACAATGACTTTTGTGTGTGATTTCTATGTCTATTTTACCGGAGAAAATATTTTTGGTACTGCCAACGTCTACGAGTGAATTAAAAAAAAGATGATTAAAGAAGATCGTATTGTTTTGGATCACACATACAAATACTGCTTGGGACACATAATATCCTTGTTGTCAATATCTGCATCATGGATTTGACTTAATGCTTCGCTGATTCCCGTCTGAAAGTGATAATCCAATCCAAGAAGCTTGATTGAATCAATCAGTTACATGGTCTGCAGTAGATCAGTAGTTTGATTGAACATGCTCTTTACTTGCACCCTCAGCTCTTCAGCTCTCTATTTCATCCTTGCATCACACCTCTGCATCATCAATGAATATATATATATATATA